GAACGGCTTGGTTTCAGTTTTGACGTAAACAAGATGATCTCCGCATTGATGTTCTCTTTTCCCGCAATATTTGTAATTAACAACGCAGCAGCGCCGCATCTAGTGGCTTCAACTGGATAGACTAACAAAAACATTTAAAATGCAATGACACTTACATCGTCATCGCATCTCGTGCACCACTCTCGTCCTCCTTAACGCACACCTAAAATTCGAATGCAACGTTTTTGCATTCGAATGTGGACGTTTATTTTAAATTCGACAAAAATTCGAAAAGTGACACATCAATAGGATTTCGGTACAATAAAGTGTTTTTCACATCTTTTTAGATAACTGGTATGAATCTCAGACAGGTTTGTTCAATAGTTTGCCAGGTCTTCTTAGGTTAATGGAAACCCTACTTAAAGAGGTTTTTCCACATTATTAAGCAAGTCACAGTTCTCATGCAATATGTTGAGGAAGAAAGATCTTTCTGAAGATGAAAAGTATGAAACAATGCAATGTCTTGCAAAAGGCATCAAAACAAACTATATTTTGCAAAAAGCAAATAGAAATGATAGAACTGTCAAAAGATTTGTGAGTGACAGAAGATCTTGGTCAGATAAAGATTTATTAAGGAAAGTTTCTGTCATACAAAAGACTCTTTATTGTACCAAAATCCTATTGATATGTCACTTGCATAATAATTTGGAACACGGTGTAAATTTGATGAAGAGTTAGAACAGCTTGAAATATCAAAAAGCTGTTAATAACTTTTTGCCAGCGTGGTCTGACGATGAGCTGTATGAAATGTGATATAGATTGAACAAACAGTGTAGGATGACTTTAAAAAAAATAGGTTTTTGAGAGAAAATCAAGTTTGACACGCATCAGGTTTCATAACTACCGGTATATGCCAAAACTTTCATAAAATATAACATTTTATGACAAAAAAATTCAAAATGGCCAGTTGTTGGGTATCATTTGATTCAAGTACCCACAGGTCATCCTGGTAATGACAGGTGCGCAATATGCCAAAATGTCGTTGAATCATTGACTAATTGATGCGTCATACAAGAACCGTTTGATCTATCAAAAATCTTTTAAACACTTTTTGCCAGCATTGTCTAGCGATGATCTGGTTCAATTTTCATGAAAATTGGAGCAACGGTCTAGAAGGAGCTTCAAGAAGTAGGTTTTTCGGAAACATTCTAACTGGACAATTTTCATGACGGGAGTATGACATTCGACTCTGAATGAGCCAAGGGAAAAAATTTTTTTTAGCCCTTATGGTTCATAATTTGATAGCAATAGTAACCCTAAAATTGCTGTGGTTAATGTTCAGACTGTCCTCTATTTGTGTGCCAAATTTCCCGCAAGAGGTTTTGTGGACCGCCATAGACTTCAGCAGAAGAAGAACAATAACAGGAGGTGCCTGTTCACTTTTGGAGCTTGGCCCCTAATTAACTGCCTGTATGTTACTGTAATAAGAGTCTTCATGTTGTCCTCTAGATCCCCCCCAGATCACACACCAGGTGGAGGCTCACCTGCAGACCTGCAGGACTTCTTCAGCCGCTTCTTCCAGGGTGGAGCTCCCAGTGACGTGTCTGCTAATGGAGGATTCTTCCCAACAGGAAACCCGCCGCCTCATTCCTCCGGAGCAGCTGCAGGGACTTCAACCATGTTTTCAGGATCTTCTCCACAAACAGGGTTCTTTAGCCCAGGGGCTCAACGGGGCGAAACCAGCGAACACTGGACTGACGGAGGAAAGCCCCCACGCCGGCGCAAGAAAGTTCGCAAGCCATTCCAGCGCTGAGGAATGCAATATTATACAGAGATGGAGTACTGTCTGTTGCCATGTTTTGACATGATATTGGCCAACTAGTGCAACTAAACGAGGATAGAATCGTTTGACCTCTGTTGAGCATTTCAGTGTTGGCGCTTTGAAGCTTCCTGATACAGAATGAAATGGCAACATTAAATTTCTAAGAGGAGCAAGCAAAGAAAGATGCAAGAAGATCTTTGCTGTTTCGTGTTTGAAGTCCTTTTTCGTTTTTGTTCTCTTTTATTTTATTTTTTTGTCACATTAACCTACATTCAAGCATCTGAAATAACATTCTTTGAAGAAGCAGAAGGACTCGCGAGTCAAGAGTAGATTTACTGGTATATCTGAAGAATAGTTGACCCGATGTTAAAAATTGTCCCCATTTATTCACCTGCATGTTGTTCTAAGCCTTTATGCCTTTTTATTTTTGCTTTGAATCTTCTCAGAGCTTTTTTCAGTACAACGTCAAGCTCCAGGATGAACAGAAAATACCCAACGTTATAAAAGTAGACCATGGGACTTATGTATGCTACATTTGAAGTCTTCTGAAGACGTCAGTTAGCTTTGTGCGACAACCAAAGACCCGAATTTAAGCTGTTCACTGATTATGTTCTTCTCCAACATAGCTATTAAATTTGGCCCTGGTTTGATATGATGGTCATGGGATACATGATAACAATGGTATTTAGTATTAACAAGCTCAGTGGAGGGGAGCTTTAGCAGCAAATACAAGTTTTTCTTTTGTTTTGTTTTTATGTGGATAGATGTGGTTACTAGGAACCACATGAAGATTATTATACAGTAAAAAATAGCATCAGAGTTTGAAACGACATGAGGGTAATAATGGCATTTTTATTTTTGGGTGAAGTTTTACTTTTGAAATGTTTGGTTTTGTCAGGTTTGAAATGGTGAATCTGATGGAAAATGTTCACAATGTGGCTGAATGTTTTGTTATATATTAACACAAGGATTAATGTGACCTCAGGGATGACTTTCTCTTCATCTGCTATTAGTAAGAGAACAGGAAGAAGGCATAGCTGAAATTTCCAGATGCTCCTGGTCGCATCGTATAGAGCTCATGCAATCCCGAGGAATCCTTTTACCAGTTCATATTAAAACCAGATTTAATTTTTTTTCATTGTTTAAATCACTTGTTTAGGAGAGCATTACTTCAAATATCTACAAATATATTATTTAAAATAAAACACACACACAATATGGGTTAATATTCCAGAAATTGGTCGTCAGCTACTCACACAATCTGAATGAAGCTTTGAATCAGAAGATTAAATAATCGAGAGGGATTTTCTGCCTGCTAACTGTAGCTCTTGATTGATTTGGTTGTTTTTGTTTATGTAGTGCATCTCTGGAGCTGGAAGAGCCTCCAATGTGCATTGTATTTAGAGTAAGCAGGGGAAAAAGGATACCAATCCAAATTTAAATGTTGAAGCACACGTGTAATGGTGTGTGAATCTTAATGTCTGGATGGATGAAGTTAAAAATGGGTTTTGATGTGAAAACCCCAGAGCCTCCCTTTAAGAGGAAGTCCTCTTGTCACTTTTGACCACTTTCTTAACACTCAGGAATCATGTTAAAAACTTAATTCATCCCCTGGAGCCATCATTCAGGCCAGCAGAACCCGGAACGTCCAAACCTGACGTCTTTGGCTCATGACATCATGGCCGGTGTTTTCTTTTTTACGGTCGACCCAAAATACTTTACGACACAAGACTGCTTTCCCTCTGTACAGCTGGACATAAAGCGCACTAATACATGCGTGTTCACTTTCATGTGTTCTCAAGTCCTCAGAAATGCTTTCAGGAACTTCCTGTTCAGTTTTGCTTAAAAGTCCTGATAAAGGCTCTTTAAAGACAGAAATCCCAAGAATAAAAACATTTAAAGAGACTCCAGAATTAAAAGCAGATTGTTGTTTTGCTCTTTGTCAGTCATCTTTCAGCCTGTGACTCCACCGTAAGGGATTTCAGAGGGAAAAGGCATAAAATGGGTTTAATGTGGTTACTCCGTAATTTAAAAACTGCATGATAAAATAGCAGCGCATTTACTTCTGAAATGTTCTCAAAGGCTAAAATGACTGACCACACTGTAACTATACTTGAGTCAAACTCCATGGTTGTTTACTTCATTGTTACTGAATCATTAGGGTAAACTTGAGTTTTGTACATGTTTACCTTCAGTCAGATTTTCAGACTATTCTAATGGTCTTCTTTTCTTTACAGCAGAAACTTTTTGTTGACAATGGCAAGTGTTATTTAATTTCTATTCACAGCTGTTAATTGAAGTGGTATAATAGAAATAAAACAGACCGTTTATTATTGCACTAAACTTCCTGATGTCAAGGCATTACTGACCTTTTGAACAAAATAATGGACCACTTTAAATGGACTTTTGTCTAAACAACAAAAAAGGAGTAGCTCATATGTTGCTTTTATTGTTTGCAGTTGTTGTATACAGTGGGTATAGAAAAGAATCACGCCCCTTTAAAATAATCACATTTTGTTGCTTTGCAGCCTGAAATGAAGTCAGACACAGTTTTTGTTTTATCCAGCTCTATTTACTCAATGCACGTGAAAGATAAAACACCAACATGTCAGAAAAAAATAAAACAGATTTAGTACCATTCAGTACCGCACACATCTATCAAATTAACATTAATATCACTTCTGCAAGTCTTGATCTCAGTCACCTTTCATCAGAACAATATTGTGGATATTTTTCAAGCATTACAGAACTATGCCCCTTTTCCAAAGAGGTTTTGTTGATGGTAAACTTGTCCAGTATTTGCTATAAATTCACTCGGATCACATCCTTATCTAGTCATAAGCACACTGGCACTGACATGAAGCCAAGAGGGGATTAAATGAGGATCTTTTTAACAGCTTTTGCACATAAAAGGGCATCCATGGTCCTCTCTGTGCTCTTTAACACACTTTCCCCATCAGCCCCTTAGGTCTCACAGTTTTTCCATTACGACAACTAAACAATGATTTGTGTTTTTTCAAATAGAAAGTCTTCATTATTTAATATTTCAGCAAAAGCTATGATGAGCCATAAAATATCCCATAATGAACAAGGGTTGCTGTATGTACAGACATCAAGGCTGCACATCAGCTTTTCTCTTATTGTGACGTACACTACTGGCCAAAAGTTAATTATTACGAATAATTATGGTTTTTTAAAATGTTTTTGAAAGGGGAAAAAAACAACTTTTGACCGGTGGTGTCTAAAAAACGAGAGACTGTCATGACACTCATTTTCCCCAAATATAGGGGGGGGAGGGGGAAAGATGGATCAAATAAAAGTAAAAAAAGACGCCATAAAGAGCCTGAATGTCCATGTGTTATTAATCCAGCGACTATGAAACAGAGAACTGTTGGTTTCTGTTTCTTCTTTTATCTCAGGTGACCATCAGAAACTGTAAAACATGATATGATCTGAAACATTTAGCAACATTACCATGAGAATGAGGCAAAACAGTAATTGGGTTCCTTTTCCTTTTTGTCTTAAATATAACCAAAAAATAAAACTTACTGATATATACATTGAAGATAAGTACTATAATATATCTTTTCTCCTGAAAAGCTACAGCCTTAAATTAATATTTGAATATGCCACTAAATCTTACCATAAAAATAGCATCAAAGGACGTAAGATTATGCATAACGTACACACAAACTTGGACATAGCCTACACTAAGCTCTTGCTTTTCAGTATCATACTCTTTGTCATCATATCTTTCCAGCAAGTGCCGCCACGACATTATCAATTACGCTGGAGTCCAAATATGCGATTATTCCTCCTCGGTTCGCCCATCTGTCCACACCTTGACTCTCGGTGTGCGGTTGATGGTAGGTCAGTTCAGCCGCGTGTCCCTCGATTCCGTTGACATGGGCACGCAGGCACGCACTCAGATCCGAGATGCCGCCACCCAGCGCCCGCAGAAGAGCATGAGGAGCGCACGAGTCCCACTTGAACGTGCTGCCCTCGGAGAGCACATACACATCCACCAGGCCATGGACCACGCACAGGATCTTGTATCCCGCACCGGACGCGTACATCAGCGAGCCGCTGGAAATGGCTGCTAGCGCGTCCTTCACAGCCGGCCTCTCGCTGGAGCTCAGCAGCACAGACAAATCATCTTTCTTTTGCGGGCAAAACGGCCTGCGCTGAGTGACGGAGCAAACGTTCACATCTCCATACGAAACACCCCAGACGTGCTGGCCTTTCCATCTACAATCACGACAACATGAAGACATTAAAGAGTTAGTTCACCCAAAAATGAAAAATTCTGCCATTCATTACTCACCCTCATGTCGTTCCAAACCCGTAAGACCTTCGTTCATCTTCGGAACACAAATTAAGATATTTTTGATGAAATCCGAGAGCTTTCTGACCCTGCATAGACATGTTCAAGGCCCAGAATAATATCTTAATTTGTGTTCTGAAGATGAAGTAGTTGTTTTCTGTTTTTAAGTGAATCTTTATTTTTTTTCGTAGTTTTCATTTTTGGTGATGGGGCTCAGTTTGACCCACAATGCAAAAGGCCAAGGAGGGAGTTTTACACAACAGGAGGGAAAATTATACAGCAATCCCTTTTAGAGTAATATGTCCTTGAGACGAGATGTTTCATTGGCTGAAAGACTGTTTGTTGTGGTAACCAAAGCATTTTTGATAAATTTCATTTATAACCACTTCATTGATGATGCTGATGGTGGACTTGAGATACAAAAATGCAGAAGTGCATCTGCAAAAATTCGTCTGTCACAAAAGACAGATAACTGACAAACAAACTGGGAGATCTGGATGCAGATCTGTTTCGTGGTTGTTTTAACAAGGCCTTGCTTCTTGCACAGTATCCAAAATGGCATGGATAATCTGTATATTTTTAAATAACATACTTAGGTAATCATTTTACTTCGCTAGAAATGTGAGAGTCAATACAGTTATATGCCCCTAAAATTCAGGAGATTGGGGCAAAAATTAAAGGGATAAGTCACCCAATAAAATACAATTAAAATTATTATTTAGTGATTTAATTTAGTGAACTGTGTACTATGTCTTGTTCAAAGAGGAGGACGTTTTTGACATTTTCGCCAAAAAAAGCACCCATGGCTGGTTTTGCAGCAAAAGACGATCATATTTGTTAAATTCCAATGAATTGACTAAAGCCACATTTTATGAAAAGAAGACATTTAAATAACTGAACTAATAACCTTTTCATTGCCATTAAAGTGAAATTACTGAACCTTAATATAGGAGCTTAATAAAAAAATTATAATTTAAAAGAAAAAATGTCAGGTGTTTTTTGCATCTGAAATCTTCATGTGGTTTTCAGTTTTAATTATTGTTTTTTATTGTATTAAAACAATATTCTCAACACATTTTTGTGTCACATCTGTGTTTTCTTGTTAACACTGCTAAAGCAGCACTCTTACCCTTTACCCGTGGAGACTTTGCGGTTGAACGGCTGGTTTATGACACCCATGACTGGTTGGCCAGTGGATCGTAAGTAAACCCCAATCAGAACCAGAGCACATGGGAGTCCGGACTGACAAAAGCCTTCATCTGGCTCCTCTTCCTCTTTCCCTTCAATGTACTGACTTGTACCATCTGTCAAAAGAAAATAACCAAATACATGTGTTGATACTGAATGAATGAATGAATGAATGAATGAAGCAAGCAAGCATTTATATAGCGCTTAACTGTGTATTGCTGTACACCCAAAGCACTTTACAATCATATCATGGGGTATGTCTATCTAGGGCTGAGCGATATGGCCAAAAAAATTATCACGATCATTTTTTTCATATCAGTCGATATCGATAATTATCACGGTAAATGTCAAATCTTTATTTCTTTCAAGTTTAAAGCCAGATTTTTGCTCCAAAGTGAAAGTTATAGAAACAAATACATTTTCCTTAAAATAAATATCTAAATAAAAAATATATATTTTCTTAGTTTCTGCATGTTCTAATGAGTGATATTGTTTCAAATCAAGAAACAGGTTTGGGTTGCCTGATAATATTATTATTAATAATAATAATAATATAACTTTTTGTCTCTTAGAAATGCACATTTGATAGTAGCTTGAGTTAGGATGCAGAGGTCAATTTTTGTTCATTATCAAAATCGGTAACATCTGTAAAAGTTTTTTTTTTTTTTTATTAAGCCTTGGTCCCCCCCCAGAGCATAAATTTAAATTCTTATTAACACAAGGTTTATGACACCCATGACTGGTTGGCCAGTGGATCGTAAGTAAACCCCAATCAGAACCAGAGCACATGGGAGTCCGGACTGACAAAAGCCTTCATCTGGCTCCTCTTCCTCTTTCCCTTCAATGTACTGACTTGTACCATCTGTCAAAAGAAAATAACCAAATACATGTGTTGATACTGAATGAATGAATGAATGAATGAATGAAGCAAGCAAGCATTTATATAGCGCTTAACTGTGTATTGCTGTACACCCAAAGCACTTTACAATCATATCATGGGGTATGTCTATCTAGGGCTGAGCGATATGGCCAAAAAAATTATCACGATCATTTTTTTCATATCAGTCGATATCGATAATTATCACGGTAAATGTCAAATCTTTATTTCTTTCAAGTTTAAAGCCAGATTTTTGCTCCAAAGTGAAAGTTATAGAAACAAATACATTTTCCTTAAAATAAATATCTAAATAAAAAATATATATTTTCTTAGTTTCTGCATGTTCTAATGAGTGATATTGTTTCAAATCAAGAAACAGGTTTGGGTTGCCTGATAATATTATTATTAATAATAATAATAATATAACTTTTTGTCTCTTAGAAATGCACATTTGATAGTAGCTTGAGTTAGGATGCAGAGGTCAATTTTTGTTCATTATCAAAATCGGTAACATCTGTAAAAGTTTTTTTTTTTTTTTTTAACTAAGCATTGGTCTCCCACAGTAGCATACATTTAAATCATGATAAACACAGTAAAGACCACACAACTATATGGTTTTTAGGTAGCCTATTTGTATGAAAAACAGTAGTCTAAAAACATTCAGTATAAATCAAGCGGCAACCTTCCGGTCTCTCTCGTGAAGCCAACACGGAAGTGACTAAAATTGCAATTCATCGACTAGCCGCTAGAGGCTGGCTCCAAAAGGGAGTTCAAATTTACAGCAGAAATAAATGTGTTTACAGCCTGGTACAAAAACTCCTTTTGGTCTATAAAGCTAATTTTGCCCTTCATGACAACTGTGAGGGCTGATTTTTTTATAACTCATCCATTTAAATTCTGCGGACCCGAATACGGGTCCAAAATCGCTTTAAAAATGTGTATGCTTCATTTACATAGCCTTCCTTATACGGTATCAGCCCATATATGGGTTCATTTGAAAGCTTGGAGTGTCTTCTTTACAAAGAATACCATTCCTTTTGGTTTTTATATTCATAAAGCAGTAAAATTAAGCTTAGAAATGTTTTAGTCCCACACACGATTTTCCGCCAAACCATTGCGAAATTTTTTTACGAAGAATGTGTATTTTATATATTTTTCACAAAAAAGTCAAGTCATATATCACAAGAAAGCTCTCATTCTTAACAGAATCCAGCGCGTCTGGAAATAATGCGCTTTCCATCTCATTCCAGCACACAGGCAGTGCGTCTGATGTTATAGATATCTGCGGTCGGTTCTGGGCTGCAATTGGTCAGATTACATGTCACTCAGATCGGTCATTACAGACTTTGTGAACTCTGACACCTCTGCGTCACCAGAGTGGGTGAGAGAGGGGGGTCTCCATCCGGTCTCGCAGCTAGTGGTTTCTGGCTGTTGTAGTTCGTGGACGCGAGAATTGGAGGCTTTTCTCCGCACGGAAGAGTTGTAGGGAACGCGACTCGGATCATATCAGTCTATGATTATCATATTACAAGTTATATATGATGAAGAACGGTCAGCGGCGCCGTGGAGAGGAATGAGCGCGCGCCTGGTGAGGCTTTAGGAGCGAGTCTTCGCGTGTTTGAGAGCTTATTCTTTGTTATGAAACGTGATAGCACTGCTAGAAATCTGATACACTTGTTTATTGACAGAAAAGTACAGTACATTATGCATTTCAGTAAGTATAGAGTAAATATACATGGATTATTTATAGTGCGGTGTGGATATATGTTTGGTGATATATGTTTGTTTGACGCTGTGAATGTAGAGATAGCTGCCGGCTAGCAAATTAGCTCCGCTCTGGACCACGGATGATACAGTGTTGTCATGGAGAGATGCACAGGATACAGGAGTGAGCTGATGAGGTGAGAGATGCTGTGAAGCAGTATCCCAATACAGAATGCACATAAATGGAATGATATAAAGCTGGAGGATATGGATTCTATTTTAGATTGTGATAAACCAGATATATTTTATAATGTAGACAGTCTTGGGCATCCTGAAATAATTAAATTTGATTGTAGAATAAACAATATTTGAAATTGGTCCAATTCGCTTGTGCCATTTTGTATATTACTACTTAGAAAAACATAGAAATTAAACAATTCAATCAATAATCAATTAAAGTGCTTATGGCACAGAGTACAATAGGATTGGGGGGTTAATGTGTTTTATAAAGCCTGTTTTTGCAAGGGAAACTCACCATGACACATTTAGATGCAGAAATGGAGAATTTCACTCGCTTCACTTATAATGTTCTAACTCCTGTTTAGAAGCTGTTATTTGAAAGATTCTTTTTTCTGGTACTTTGTGACATGTAGTGGCATCAAACAAAGTAAATTGCAGAGAGCTGGGCCTAATAGAAC